GTCCTGCCTTTTCACCGTCATCCCTTCTATTCTCTCGTGTAACGAACATTTTATTCTTCACACGCTTGCTCCGGCAACGCTTTAACTAACATTCGGAATACCAACTGATTCCTATTTGAATGTTACGGTGTCATTAGGCGCTCTGCTATATATCGCGATGACGTATCTTATTTTTCTTCGAGTATTCTTCGCCACCGGGGGAATCCACGTTATATTTTATCTCGAGAAAACGGATGTGTGTGTGTGTGTGTTCGCGCGCACACGCTATTTGTTATATTACGCGATATCGCGTTCCTTCGAAGAAAAAAAAAGAGAAAATCATCACGAACGAAGAAATATATCGAGATCGTTTTATTCTCAAAGGAAGAACGGGCTTGATTTGATCGCGATTCGTCGTGAAATTTTGAAGCCTGCCTCGCAGACTGTACAATCTAGACGCGTGCTCCTCAATATAGAAATGATATAATATTTTCGTTTGACCTAGTATGCCGGGCCAGCTCTTTGTGAGGAAGAATTGCGCATTCATGGAAAAAGTGGAGTGTGCCTTACGGAGGCTAGGTTGATATGCTGTTGAAGTTTTTTGCCCGACATATTTATGAATTTACTCGATGGAGCGGAAAAATAGGTTACCGTACCAGATGGATTTCGTACTTGAAACGTGATGATAACTCCCTACGTTTCATAGCTCTCGTGCGCATATCTATCGATTATCGAACCACGTCCTCTTGGTGAAAGAATCGGCAAGTACGGATCGCGAAGCTCCGAAGAAATCCCGATTACAACAGGATCGGAAAATGAAGGGAGATTCCCCAGCGAGGAGTCGTCGATGTAACCGTAATTAGTTCCGATTAAGCTTATCGCGCTACAAAAGATACCGTTATATCGATCCCGCGGAATACGCCGGATTATAAGCTCGAGTATTTCACTAGATCGCGCAGTGAAATTTCCTCTCGTCCCTATTTCATGGAAATTACCTTCGAGCGCGCCTAGTGATTTCGAAGCGTTTCGTTGACGACGTAAATACCGTAACGCAATTATAGAGCGATGCGGAATGAGAGTTAGAAGTGGATTTCATTTCGCACGTGTTCAAGCATGTCTGTCGTTACGCGGGAATGCGCGTACATCCGTCGACCAATTAAAAGTACAAGAAGACGCATGCGCGAAAATACATGCCACGTATACTAGAAAAAGCTATGAGTTACAGAAGAAAATGTGGCTGCTCCACTTGAGTTTGCAATAAAGAAGCCAGATTTCTTATGACAGATGTTTTTTTCAAAGAACTCAAAGTGAATAAAAAAGAACGTAAGAAAAGGTGAGATAGTATTTCTAATAAATTGTTACACTCTAACACCGGCGGTTTAGTTCTCACAGGTCAGGCTTTCATAGACCTCAATATATGATTTACCAGAAAGAAAAACAAATATTTCTATAATTCATTCGCCCAGCACGTGCTTGAATTATGTCGTCATCTCGACGTGATCGTTAGGAATTTTTATAGTTAACGTTACTTTCCTGCAGTACTTTCGAAACGCTAAAATGCCAAAGTGCGGTTCGCGGTTATTATTTCGCGATGCGTTTAGACCATATCTCGGCGAAACGCAAGAAGAAAATGTTCGGAGTTCCCGGCCGTATTATCCGGAAACCTAATTCCGTCGGCTTCTGGATGCGAAGTGCCCCGGGAATATGCGTGTGCATCTTGCGATAAAACGCCGCTACCTGGCGTCGCGCGAGTGCTCTATCCGCCGTTATCCGTCGTGAGCGCGAAAGAGCAGGCAAGCTGTGCGCCTCGTATGTCGAAATAAAAGGCGCTCGCGTCTGCATTAGCGCGATAACGAGCCAATCGCGAAACGATCCGCCTTTAAACGGCGGGTTTTCATCCGCTGATAGCGAATTTTTATCGAGACTCCGCTATCAACCGCCGATGAGTGCATTCTATTTATATACGGACGGCGGGAAATTCTATGCATAGTTACAGAATTGAAAAGTATATAAGATAAATGATTGTAACTTTTGTACTTTGCACACGTACGATACATCAAGGAAAAAAGGATGAAATAACGATCTTAAGGTTGGTTGATTTTCCTTATTTTCATACTACCGTAAAGATAAAGAGTTACCTTCGAGGTCAGATTTTTAGAGCGGCGGCTCAGAAACCGTCAGATTTCTCGTTTCGCGATAATCTGAAATCTCGGCATTTCGTAATTACGATCGAATCTGTGTGATCGATAAGATCGGTTCTCTGTGGGTTTATGAAGTTCTCGTGCATCGTTGGAGAAAAATACGTTTCGGACCACCGATCGGTATTAAAATTCGATATCGTACGAGAAGAAATATCCTCGTGATATAAATCTAAATGTATCACAAGGCCAATTACCTTAACATCTGGCGAGTTATAGCTTATTGCGATATTAAATTCGATTTTAGTGGAATCGGTTATCGCGATAAGGCCTCACCACGAGTCCTATCTCTTATTTCCCTATCCTTGCCGAGTATCGAAGGAATCCAGCCTATCTCATCCCCAGCGGAACATTTTATTCTTTTCGCCCATCTTCGACACCCCACTAACCTTGAATCACCGATAGCACTTTAACCATCGGTAATTTCGAAGAGAGAATAACCACCATTCTGGCACGTTTTTCCGAATTTCGCGATGATATAAGACTGGTGCTCTCGCACGTTTCTCTCTTTCCCTTACGTTTCATCCGACAAGATTTTGTTAGGTTTATCATTGAGTCGCGTTGGCACAGCGGACTCGTAATTTGGAATATAATTTACCGACCGAAAAATTGGAATATAATTTACCGTAAGATAATAAGAGCGGAATTATGATAATTAATTCTACTCGGAACACCTCCCGCGTGCGCATCTCACAGTATCCTCACGGCCGGAATAATATTTACATAACTGTACATACAGATATATTTATTGAGAAAATAGAAAGCGTGAGGGAGCGGAGCTGGGCGGAAATTGGTGGTTGATCCAACGGATGAATTCGGGAAATCGGCGCGGTGAATCTTGGATCGTGATGACGGAAGTCGTGTCAAAAGTGAGTCGGTGTCATTGAATCGGGATATGAAAGAGGTGACGGCACTTGGAACAACTACCCGCATAAAAATTCTCCAAAATTTTCCAGCATACAGTATAGATTCCGATTAAAATACCCAAAGTTGCCCCAAAATTGGTGGCCCTATTACGATATCAATTGGAAACTCGTCACAAATTTTAGAAAAATTCATCCCACACACGCAAAAAAGAATTCATTCTCTTTTCAAGAATGTTATAAAACTGTATCGAAAAGAAGTTAAATTCGTTTAACTTAAATAAATTTTTATTTTAATTTAATATTCTTGTAATACTAAACTTAGATTCAGAATATATTTTAAATAAATTTGATGCTTATAATGAACTTGTGATATATTTGTGAGTGTGTAAACTTTTAAAATATTTGAAAAAAGTGACACTTGTACGCAGTATGCATTTTCCTGTGTGTATGGTCAGTCACAAAATGGTTGCGACACATTTTTTTTATAAATTTCAAAACACATCTCATACCCAATAAGAAGATTTATTCATTTATTTATTTATTTAAAATTTATTTATTTAGAATTTGTCTTTTAGTCATTTTCAGGAGATAAATTTTTTTATAGGATACGAGATGCATGGCGAAACTCAACGAAAAAAAGTGTTGCCACCTCTTTTTATGACTGGCTATATTTGTAAAGTGTAAATACTTAAACTATTTCGTATATTTTGCTCAATCGTAATGTAAAAAGGATAAAATCTTTAGGAAATTATCAGGGAGGAGGGTGGCGAAATAAGATCTGTTTATAATTCCCATTCAGAAACGCATGTTCGAGACATTTCTAATTAGAGACCTGCGTAGAATTACTATCTAGAATCCATAACTATTATCGGAAATCGGACTGGATTCCAATTAGATCCCAAGAAATGTTCTATGCTGGTAGAGATAGGAAGTAACTTTAAACAGTTAGGATTTCAAAGTCGATCAGCGGTTAAATTCGTTCTCTATCACTTTACGATATTACAGTCGAGGTAATTAAAAAATCATCGGGGAGACGTCAGACCGCCTCTATCGCGTGAGAGGGATCACATAATACAGAAACGATTAATCACGGTGACGTCACATTACACACACGGTATACGAGAAATCGATTTTTAAAGAAGCGCAATCACAGCCCGGACTCGTGGAATATCCGTTCGCCCGGTATTAATTATTTACCGTAATCGCACTGTTCCTTTCGAATTCGCCGGGGGAGGGAATCGGCCGTGATCCAACGAGCAACTCTGGATCAACGTTGTCGCACCATCTGCGGCAGAAATTCACGCATTACCATCCCCGGTTACGACAAAAATGCGGGCTGTACCGTATTTTCAATCGGAACCGCGATATGGCTCGATATCTTGAGCGCTCCGAGCTGGGCAATTTTTGCAACGTGATTCAAATTGCAGATCGATACTGTGGCTGCTTCGTGACAATAGCAGCAGCAGCGACGACAGTAGCAGTGGTGGTAGCAGCCGATGGTGGAGAGCCCATAAACGCGCACTGCGTCGACTATCACGCGACGCCACGAGACTTCGCTCTTGACGAGTGGCTCTCGGGTGGCGTGCGTCGTCGTCGTCGGCGGTGGAATTAAATTCGGGAGAAAAGAGAGCGAACGAGAGAGAAGGAGAGAGAGACAGCGAGAGAAACAGGTGCCGGCGACGATCCTGCCGGTCGGATGGCAGGTGAAAACGGCGCGTGGAATCGAGGGTGAACGCCAAGAGGGAGAACACAATTCGAGGTGTCGAGTGCCAAAGGACCGACCGGCGATGCCACGCTTCGCAGACGTCCCTAGTGCGCAAGGGCGTTGGCGCTGACGACGGACGGTACTGGAAGTGTCGGGGGTGTGGGGTCCGGGAGCTTGGGAGCGCTTGATCGGGGTGGGAGGGCGCGAGGGGGGGGAGCGCGTGAAGGGTAGGGGGATGGTTTGAGGAAACGGTGGGGTGGGACAGCCGGAGACGACTGTGCTCCCAGTCGCTCAGTCCGCGCCCCGACACGCAATCACACGCACACACTTCTTCTTGGTTAGGGACGGAGAGTCGCGAAATTGCTGTTTTTCTTTTTTCTTTATCTCTCTCTCTCTCTTCCTCACTTTTGCTCGGGCTGCGCTTTGAGGTGTTTCTTTTCGAGTCGGTCTCGTGATTTTCCCGCGTGTCGGATCGGCCCGATTCCTTCCGACCGTCGTCGTCGGTCCAAACGGCGGTATTCTCGTCTTTCTTCACTGGTGAGTACGAAAGCCCTCGCACGATAGCGCGCATCTCACCGAGCATCTCCGTTTCCGACTCGAGCCCCTGAGTACGCGAGTGGAGTTCGCGCTCGATGCGCGTTCGCGAGCGGACCGAGCGGTGGTGACGCGTAGAAGTTCGCGGGGAAGAACTTTTTAACTTTCCCAGTATCTCCTCGTTACCCCCGTTCGGCGTTGCGCTTATTTTCAATTTGGCGGTCCGGCGATGTGTCAGCCGCGGATTCGTCGTAGGACACGACAAAGTGCGGTAATCTGGCTGCCCCCTCCCCACCCTTTCTTCCACCTCCTTTCGTTCTCGTCGGAATCCCGCGTTGTGCCGGGAATTACCCCCGGTAATTATAATTGCCACACGTCGTCTCCAGGTTTTCATTCTGCTAATGGAAGAGCCGGCGGGTTCGCTTTATTTTCGAGAAAGAGAGGACGAAACAAGATCTCACTCTACGCCGCGCGTTCTCTCTTCCTCGCGCGCGCTCCGCGCGCGATATTCTTGTGCAATTTTGTGCGCGTCGAAATCCTAGTGAAAATTTTCAGGCGGAAAATGCGTGACTGAGGTTTCGTCCGGCGGTTTCTTCTTTTTCTTCTTTTTTTCTTTTTAACGCGGAAACGCGTTGCGCCGGGGTGGACGATGAAACAATCGCGGGTACGGCGCACATTGTTGCGTAATAAAAATCAAACGCTTCTTTCGCGTAGCAGCGTAACTCCGATGTTCTCGTGTAACAAATAATTTAAATAATCATACAATCGGCTTGTCCAGTGTTTTTCAAGAATACGCCATTTTTGCGTCGTCGGTTTCTCCTCTCCGTGTTTAAATATCGGTACCGTGAATTGTCGGGAAATGATCATATGATCGTAATCTCAAAGTTTTTCGTGGGAATTCGTGCTGAGAAATAAAAAAGCTATACATCACGCAGACGCACAGCATTCGGATGCGCACGCCTACGCCGATATATCGTTAGTTAGCTGCTGGTGGAATCTTAGGAGAAAATGCGAACCGTAACGAGCCCCGATTAATTCCGCTCCGAATACGGTAGATCTTTCGCCGCGGATTGGAGTCAAGTGTCGCGTGCAGAATAACATCGCGATTTTACGCCTGTCTCATCGAAGCATTATTAATACGAATTACTTTTGCGATACGTTTGGATTTGCCGAGAGAAATTATTTCGAACGAAGCCTCTGACGTATCACAATGGCGCGCGCGAGTCAATTACGCCGAAACGATCGGCACAGTCGTCGATCTTCTCTCGTAAAAACAAATATTAATCCCGTATCTTCAATCAGTGCTCGCACACCGGCTCGGTTCTAACCGCTATTTCACGATACGTCCGAGCCTGCCGTATTTGAAAAATATAATATTTGCAGGCCAAACAAGATGCGAAATTTACAGGGACGTATTGAAATTGAAAAAGCCGCAGATGGAAAAGGCAAGCACAACTGACATGTTGACGAAAGTTGCTAAATACGATCGATCATACGCGGCCTGGATTCAAATGCAATACGCGCTAATTTTTTTTCATGCGGTGCTTCAGCTCTTTGACATTTCTCTCCCGGAGAATTGGCCATTATATTGAGGCAAAGAGTCGATCTAAATCCATTTTATACGTGCCTCTCTTTTTCTTTACGAATATACAGAATTTATTCTCTACCGACAAACTTACAGAATAGATTCTATGTTGAAAAATAAGTAAAAATAAGTAAAATAAGTCCCTTAGTCAACGTATGCCCGTAATTGGCTTTTAAGGTACAGATATAGTCTTCGGAATTCAGACGACGAAAAAAATGTGTGACGATAAATGGGTTAAGGATGCTTATATAGCGTTTTTTAAATCTGTTTTTGCAGATAATATTTATCGATTTTGGTATTTTTGAAGAACATATTTATGAAGCGAATTTATAAAGCGAAGAATTGTTAATTGTAACGTTACGTCACGTGCGATAGCGTTAGAAATAATAAAGCAATATTCGGACATATATGCGCGACTTTATTCCACAGATGTCAATTATGCATTGATAAAGGACATTTTTACTTATATTTTACTTGATTTGTAATTCAGTGTCAATCTCATGTGTCTCACGACACATTAAGAAATTTTGAACAATTTTTATAACAGTACGTGTCTAGTTACTTATTTGTAAAACACGATTTAATAAAATATATATATCTTTTTTCAAACTGAAATTACAGCAGCTGTATTTCAGAAACTAAGAAATAAAAAAATGTAAGGGACATTCACTAAACTACTTCTACTTTCTACTTATTTTTTTATGTATTATAGAATCTATCTTTTGCCGGTGGAGTTCGGATACACTCTGTATGTAATAACGGATATAATGAATAATTTGGAAATCCATCTTGTAACGAAAATAACGTTTCCTTTTCTTTGAGCTTCGAAAAGTTTCCCGGTCCTTCGAATCGCGAATAATAAATATCAAAAGAATGTTATTGTTGTATCTACACGGTAATATTGCGCATTACGGAATACATCGTTACACACGTAATCATCCTTAGCGCAGTAAAAAGATGTTTACGCGCATTTCAGTACTCACGATCATTCGAAACGCGAGTAAATTATTAACGAGCTAGTTCGCCCATTAGCACTTTACGGCTTCGTATGGTTGTACTCGCTGCAGAAAATCCATTTGCTAATTGAAACGTCCTGCCATTTACGAAATCAAGCACGGGCTCGGCGATAAGATTCATCCGCGAATTTCGAATTAACATTTCGCCGATGAAGCATTCGTTAATGACTCATTGTTGCGCATCGCTAATTATTCTTATTTATGTACCATTTCCTAGATTCACGCGAATCTTGCTCCACCTACGGAACACGTTCCCCAGACCTGCTGAGCTAGAATTCAAGATTAATGTCCTGCGATGAATTCTTCTGTTGCAGTGGAGATATCTGGTGTGATATAAAAGTGAAATTCATCCGCAAACTTTCCCCGTTTTCTTGTTACTTCTGCAGTAATGGCACACCTTAATAATTTCGCGTCTCTATTGCCATTTCTTAAAGTCGTGAATGCGACATTTGCATGTTTCACGGGTCCCGGAACGCCCGATATTTTACTTACTTATCACGGACGCATCCAATCTTAGCTCATTTTTACGAGCTACCCGTAATTTTATGGACGGTTGGTGGGCACATTCCCGAGGGTAAGCCGGAAACTTTCCAGAAGCAGCCTCGGACCGCTCATCTCCCCGCTGTCCAAACTTGATTCATCTAACTTCGCTCGATGAAGTTCGCCATCCGAAAAGGCACGAATTTCGCGCGAATCGATGCAAAAATTCGACAGGATCATCTGGCACGCTCGCGCACAGTTTCGCGGACTCTCGTTATTTCCTTTCGCGAAAAGTTTCGAGCAGAAGAAGAAGAGCGCGACAGCTGTTTCGAAAACGTGGCGTTGCCAACGTCGCGTTACGTCAGCTGACGAAAATAAGAGGAAAAAACGAGGGAAGAGGGAGAAATGGAAACTGAGATTGCCGGTCAAAGGCCAGGATGAGCTGACACAAAGCGTATATCGGCGCGGCTAAGGCCCGTCGACGGGGGATTATTATTGAAAAAGTTATAATTCACCCACGCGCACCCCCCTTGACAAAGCTAATTCATACCACCCGTCCTCCCACTGTCGATTGAATATTTTAATCGTCGGTAGCTTTCCTCTTGTTCTCCACCTCATTGTGCTTCTCTTTGCACTACCGGGCTGGTTTAATTGAGTCCCAGCGCTCGCTTTCTGTCCAAGCGGAGATATCCACAAAGAGAGAGAGAGAGAGAGAGAGAGAGAGAGAGAGAGAGAGAGAGAGAGAAAGAGTAGCCCGTGTTCCAAGTTCGGTGACTTCGGAGACTTTATTGTTTGCGTCGCCGTTTAATTGCCGAGCAGAAACTGCATGAGAGAGAGAGAGAGAGAGAGAGAGAGACTCTCATTGATGTGCATTAATGTTATTTCGTAGTATTCGCGTATTCGGTCGTACTTCGCCTCGAGACGAGGAGCTTTTATCGCGTCGGGCGGTCAATTGATTTGGGAAGTTTCAAGTTGGGAGCTCGGCTTGATCGAAAGTTACAATGGCAGTTTCGAATTTTCAATTACATTATCCTTCAAAATCACGCTTGATCTCGCGCATGAAATGTAAAGCACTATACGAACTAATGTTGTTTTCTAACTTTTGACTGCAAATTTCTGTGGCGAGAACTTGTGTCTTTTTTAAAATAACGTGCAATTATAACGGAGCTGCAAAATATTTAATTTAGGAGGTGAATTTTTTTAGAAAAAGATACTTGAAGACAGTTTTCAAAAGTTTATAGAAAATTTACGTTTATACGAAACTACATAACGGACGAATTTCGCGGTAAGTTAAAGGGATATCGGAGTGGCTGTCATTGATAACATTACGTTACAACGTTATCGATGTCACATGATATGTATGCTTGTGCATGAGAAACGGAAAACGAAAACGATTGGTAGCCAGTCTTTATCCAACTAAGTTTCTCGAGCTGCGTTCGATTTGGGCCCTGTCATTCTACCTTTATTGTTCATTATATGCCACATGGAGATAGAATGACGTTTACAACGTTTACAACGAACGCAGCCTTGCTGTGATGGAACTCATTTTTTCCCATTGTTGCGGCAAATGCGAAAGTCGTCGATTTAGATGGCTATCAAACGTTAATTACGCGTCACATTTGGCTGAAATTTTGACAGAGGCCGCTTGAAGAATAATACTTGTCAGCAGTGATGTCATTTTATGAATTGTGGCGCTCACGGAAATTTACCAAACTTTTCAAAGTATTCTTGTATGCATCATCATAATGCGAAAGAATTTATGATCCTATATGACCAAAAATGAGTATAACGTGTTCAAAACATTTCAGCAAAACGAGCATTCCGACACCCTTTTAAAACGTGATACCGAGGACATGGGGCGTATTGATACACTTAAGGAGATTGGCATACTTAATCGCGATGCGGATCGATGAGAGAAACGA